GGATTATCTTCTGTGTCTGTGTTAATTGGTTTCCCTTTTCTTTTTTGAAGAGGGTCTGTGCAGTCTTTCTGCCTAGTCCGCCATCTTGCTGGAACCATTTATATCTTGAACTCTAAATTCTAAAAGCCATGTTTTACCTTTTGAAATATGATGACCCCCTATAATCCCTCACTAATAATCCAGTTATTTTTAGACATGATTTTGATAAGCTTATAACCCTTAGCCTTTAATGATAGCGTATTAGAAAAGGAGAGTGAGTCTATGGAAAAATGCAGATAGCCTGACCAGAAGGAGCGGAAAAAAACTCTAGAATGTTATAAAGCACATATTCAGATATTCTTATAAAGTTCAGTAATCTGTGATCATTTAATATACATGAAGTATACACTGTAGTATACTCTAAAATAGCTCATAAAAGCATCTATGTGATGTAATAATACAATAAAGTACAATCAGTAGTTGTTAGTGTTGGTGCCCTTGAATGGTCTAGTGAAGGTTAAATAGTGCTTAATAAAAGTATAAGTTATGTTTAACTTTTAGAAAAATTAAGGATTTTCATGACATGGTTGAGAGTTTTTGATAACAAAATTTTTTTATGTTTAAAAAAGTAAACTGTCACCTAACTAGAATTTGATTATCCAACATAATTAATTTTCTTAGGATTTTAATTAGCCAGTTTTATTGTGATATCTTATTATTCATTATTTTATGCTCTCAATGTATTTTATGTAGATATATTAAGTAATTTTTATATTCTCTTGTGAGCATTTTTAACTTAGTCATAGAACAGACTATGTTTGCTGTATGAGCTAGGAGTTCAGAATCTTTTAGATTCTGATCTAGATTTAGATCTTTTAGAGTTCTAACTTATACTTTTGTGGAATTTGGAGGGTATGGAATTCTATTATAAATTAAACTCTAATGCAATAAGGAGATCAAATGATGTAGCGATTAAGGCATTTGACTGCTAACCAAAAGGTCAGTGGTTCAAACCCACCAGTTGCTTCATGGGTGAAAGATGGGGCAGTGTGCTTCCATAAAGATTTGTGGCTTTGGAAACACAATAGGGGTTGCTGTGAGTCAGAATTGACTTGATAGCAGTGAGGTTGGTTTTATGTTTTTATATTTTTGGTTTTTATGAATTACATTCTAAAGTAATAAACTTTATGTGTAAACTTGTTCTTAAAGTATTTTGCAAAGTCTTTAAGGTATAATTGGTCTTGTGAACTTGATCTGATCTACTTAGTATATAATAGTATAACCATTTCTTACTGACAGTTTCTTGCATTACTGTCTGCTTATTCAGAATAACATTATTAAGGCACTAGATGATGATCAAATTTGGAACCTGGAAAATAAGTTAACAAGAGACTAAGTTGGAAATGTATCACAGATTGATGGGAAAATTGCTGAATATCTAGCAAACTATATTATGTAAACAATTTTGCTAAGAAACCTAAAATTGATGATGGAAACCTCTCTAAGTGTGGTTATGTTTGAGCCATTACTTAAAGATTATAGATTCTAAGTATACTTAGTACTATTTATTTAATGTATTAGATCTAGATTCCTGTTTTTAGAGATTGTTTTTTTTTCCAGGTCATCAAACAGGAAGACAACTGACAAGAGAATTAGTAGGCTGGTTACACAACATTCTGTGGAAAAAAGCTTCCAGAAGTTTTGAGGTTTGAGAATAATCTATTTTCATTCTTTATATTATTTCTTTACTCCAACAAACAAAGCAATGTGTTCACAATAAAAATCATAAAGCATCGAATACTTTAAATATCTCCTCATTCTCTTTAGATACCATCTACTTATTAAATATTTATAAATATAGGGTGCTAAAGGGCGTTATACAAGAGTTTATTAAAAAATTATAAGACATTATTCTTCCCCATTTGGAACTTACACTGTAGAGAAATAACATCACTGATATTAAGATGTTGTGTGCTATCCTATCAATTCTGACTCATAGTGACCCTATATGACAAAGTGCCTCATTTAGTTTCCTAGGCTATAATCTTTATGAGAGCAGATTGCCAAGTCTTTTCTCCTACAGAGCAGCTAGTGGATTTGAACTGTCTACTTTTCAGTTAGCAACCAAGCACTTAACCACTGTACCACAAGGGCTCTTTGATGTTAAGATGCAGGGATGTAATTTATTTTAACATGAGGGATGAGAAAGTAAGAGGGGTTTTATTTCCTTCAAAAAGTTGTGGTGTAGATGGTGCCTGGTGTGGTAGTGTGTCAACTTGGCTGGGCCTGTTTGACTGACTGGGCAGCTGGTGGTAGTCATTCGCCATGATGATCCATGGTTCGATTTACAACAAGCAGCTGAGTAGCTGCTTTAGGACTGTGGTCTGCTTCCCATATACAAGAAGCAGCTTTGGGAATGGTCTCTAGTTTATGACCCACTCGAACCCTGCATGTAGCTGAATTGTTCAGCAGCCTGCTGTGCTCTGCTGACCTTGGGACTTTCAATGGACTTGAATCAATGGCTTGCTGTGTTGTTTGGTATTGGTAACATTGGCATTGTGCTTTTTAACTTGTAGACCTTGGGTTTGTCAGCCTCAGCAGCCAGCAGCTGTTTGGGTGAAGAAAATCCTCTAGCTTCAGTGGTCCGGGAACAGGAGGCAAAGCTGAAGGCCAAGGTTGAGGGGTTTTCACCCAACCCCTAGATCCTGGCACTTTGAACTCGGACTTAAAGCCTCTAAACTGTAAAAGAATAAACTCCTGTTAGTTAAAACCATCCCATTTGTGATATTTTATGTTAGAGTAACACAGAGGTCACCAATACACCTGGTTACCGCTGTCAACCACTCAGAGTGGGATCTATGTAGGATATCCTGAACAGAGTGGGAGAACAATGTGGAACAAAACTCAAAATAAAAAAAAAAGGGGGGGACCAGGTTTGCTGGTCTGATGGAGCCTTATGGAACCACTAAAACTATGGCCCCTAGTTGTCCTTTAGGTCTGGAATTGAACCCACTCCTGTGGCTTACAGCCAAACAGAAGACAGGCATGTTAGCTGAACATTTACAATAGGTATATACACTCCTTGGAGAGAACAATTATGGGAGACTAGAAGGGCTATGTATGCACAGGGAGACAGCTCAGGAGGCAGGAGTGCATGGGAGGGAAGGACACAGGGAAAAGGTGGTTATGGGGAGAAAGTGTTGCACTGTGGGAGATTACGGTCACTGTCATGAGACAAAGTGTATGTGAGCTGCTGTATGAAAGATGAATTTGCCCTGTAAACTTTTACCCAAATCGCAATAAAATTAATAAATAAAATAATAATAATAGAAAAAGTTGTGATGGACTTCCACTTTGGCCAAGATATAGTAACAAAGACTGGGTTTATCTCCCCACCCGAACAATTAAAAACCAAAGCAAAATACATGGAAAAAGCTGGTTTTTAAGACACTAAACATCAAGTAATGAAAGAAAGTGATCCCTGGGAGATAGTAAATAAACGAGATGGGCGCACTGCCTTGAGTTTCCAGTCTGGAGCATAGAGAAGGGGAACTGAAGTGGAGCTTAGAAGACATCCTGAGTTGAGGAGATGAAGCTGTGAGTCTGGGGAGACTAAGACAGCTAGAATTCATAAGACAGTGTACCATAGAAAATCATATCAAATTGATTCCAAGGAGCTTGATTATTTCCCAGAGCAGAGCTAAAAAAATTATAAAAATACAAAACTATCCAGCACCCAACAAGGTAAAAACCATAATGTTTTGCACCTAGTATAAAATTATCAGGCAGGCAAAGAGGCAGGAAAACACAACCTGTAAGGAGGAAAAGAAAAAGCAATCAATGGAAACTGAACCAGCATTCTATTAGTATTAACAGAGGAAGACTTTAAAATAGCTACTATAATTGTATCCTGTGCAGTGAAAAGTTAAGTACATGCATTTAAAAAAAAAAAAAGTTTGTGTTTTTTTTTGGGGGGGGGGGGCATATACCTGTGGTTATAACCCCATTTGAGAATGAAGTTTCTTTGTAATGTTAATGTGACAGTTTTAGTGTTCAGTGCGTCTTAAGACAATCTTTTTTTAAAAATTTTTACTGTGATTTGGATGAAACTTTACAAAGCAAATTCACTTTCCATACAGAAGCTCATATACACTTTCTGTCACGACATTGACTGCAGTTTCTCACAATGCAACAGCTCTCCTCCCACTTCCTCCCCATAGTTACCTCTTCCCTGTGTCCATCCCTCCATGCACTCCTGCCCCCGAGCTGTCTCCCTGTGCATACACAGCCCTCTATTCCCCCATTACTGATTTTTCCAGAATGTATCTACCTAATGTAAATGTTCAGCTCATATGCCTGTCTTTTGCGTGACTGGAAGCCACAGGTGTGGGTTCAATTCTAGACCTGAAGGGCAGCTAGGGGCCATAGTCTCAGTGGTTCCAGCAGGCTCTAACAGAGCAGCAAATCTGGTTGCCCCTCACCTTTTTTTTTTTAATGATTTTGAGTTTTGTTCCATATTTTTCTCTCACTCTATCCAAGTGGAGTTACAGTTACAGTTTGATAACCCCTCCAAGTGGTTGACAGTGGTAGCTGGGCACCATCTGGTTCTTCTGGTCTCATAGTCACATAGGCTGAGGATTGCGTGTTGTTCCAGTCTCTTGGGCTAATTGTTTCCATGTGTCTTTGGTTTCCTTCATTCTTCTTTGCTCTAGACGAGGAGAGACCCATCATTGCATCTAGATGGCAGCTTGCTAGCTTTTAAGATCCCTGTTGCTACTCGTCAAAACAGGATGTGGAACAATGATTTTCTGTAGTATGTTATGCCAATTGAGCTTAATGTCCCCTG